GCCCAGAGCTCAGGCCTCCGGAGGGGCCCTGGTGGGGCGGTGGCCACAGCTTCCAGCTGCTAATTAAAGAGTGTGGTTCCAACCCACCAGTTGTTGCCCCTGAAGCAGCTGAGGTGACGCTTCCCTAAAGACGGCAGGTTTGGAGGCAGGAAGGCCCTACAGGGTCAGAGGCACAGTCGACCTGGGGCAGGACGAGGCTCAAGAGGCTCCAACTCTACAGCAATGAAAAGTTCATCTTTAAAAAACACTGCTGTCAATTCCCTTTCCCCTCACAGAGCCCCTTCAAGCTACGGGACAGCCGCACGGGCCCCCAGCGGGCATCTCTGCCGGAGCAACTGCTGGGTTCTAACCACCCACCTTCCACGTCAGGAATTCAGCTTATCCTCCCCAAACACACAAGCATAAAGGTGTAATGTGTAAACTCTGCCAAGATATCCTGTGACCCCTTAACGCCACCACAGCCTTGACCCCATAGATGGACAACGCCCTGGAGTGTCCTCGAACACCTTTGCTCTCACTAGGGAAAGCTGGTGGCCTCGTGGTAAGAAGCTGTACAGTAGTCCCAAAGGCACACAGTTTGAATCCACCAGTCGGCTCTGCTGAAGGATAATCAATCCCCTCGTGTTCAATTTACAGCCTCTGAAAACCCGCTGGAGGGTCAGCTGTGGGTCGGTTCTGACTCAATGTGGCGCTACAGCAACAGTAGGGGACAAAAGAGGCTCCCAGCACCATCAAGAAATGGCCTGCCAGGAGCAGAAGACATCCTTTCGGACGAGCCCCTGCACCGGAAGCTCCAGGACTCTGGAAGGCCAGGACACAGGGAGGCCTGCGGGACACCAGGCCTGCAGGGAAGGGAGCAGCACCTCCCTCCAGCTCACACCAGCCCTGGCCCTCAAGCTGACCCCCAATTGTGGACTTCCAGCTTCCTGAACCGTGAGAGGATAAATTACTGTTCAAACCACTCACTGCGGCCCGTTACAGTAGCATTCGCCCAATGCTCACAACCACACTGCCACCAGGGTCCCTTCCAAGGAACCAGAGACAAGCCCCCGAGGTAACTTCTGAGCCAAGAGGATGGATGACCTCAGGTGTGACCACGTCCAGGAAAGACCATCAATCGGCGGATGCAACTTGATAGCTGGTCAAGAAGGATGTGCCCCTGTGACCAGCCCTCCCTGGCTAAGCCGTCCCCCAGAGAACATGCATAGGAGGTCCATGCACTTCCATCTGGAACCCTTGCAGCCTCACCTGGGAGAGCTGAAAACGCAACCACTGGAATGATGCCAGCCAGAAACCCCAGACAGGATGCACCTGGGAGAGCCGAGAACGAAACTACTAGAAGGATGCCACCCAGAAACTCCAGACAGGATGCATTTAAAGTACTAAGGAACAAGGATGCCAACATAAAGACTGAGGTGCGCCTGACCCACGCCGTCGTCTCTTCAACTGCTTCCCACGCATCGAAAGCTGGACTACGAATAAGCTAAAGAAGAGTTGATGCCTTTTAACCGCGGTGTTGGCAACAGCACTCAGCATCCATGCACTTCCAAAATGGTTTTGGAAGAAATACAACCAGAATGCTTCTTAGAGGCAAAGGTGGTAAAACCCTCACACCTTTTGGACCATGTTGTCAGAAGAGGCTAATCCTGGGGAAAGCACGAGGGTTGGAGTGTGTGGGGTCCAACAAGGAGATAGAGGGACAGTGACAGGAACAATGGTGAGAGCAGGACAGAGATTGTGAGGGGAGGACGGCACAGGAGAGGGCGAGCTTCACACACGACGCTCACAGGGCTGCTGGGAGCAGCAGTGGCCTCAATGGCACCTGACAACGACGCAGGTGACCAGTGACTGGCAGGAACAACGGCTCAAGCCTGAAACCAGCTATGAGGCCGGCACAGGGCTGGACACACGGGGTGAGTTAGTGCTGTAGAGACGGTACCCCACAACTAACAGTTCCTGGCAGGGGGGCTGTTAGGTGTCGTCAAGTACGACTCATCCTGACCCCATGAACAGCAGCTCTGAACCCCGTCCTAGCTTGTATCCTCTATGTGACACGCTCCAACCCATTGCTGCAGTCACCGTCAACCCACTTCACTGAGGGTCTTCCTCTCATCAGCCCTCCATCTGTCCAACATCAATCTCCAAGGAAGAGCTTCTTCAGCCACATGCCCAAGGATGTGAGGTGAAGCTTCCCTGGCTACACCTTCTCCAAGACATAGCCACTGTTCTTTTGGTGGCCCTGGCATGTTTTGTACTTTCCTCCAACACCACAGCTCAAAACCATCAATAATCCTTCCATTATCCTTATTCACTGTGAACTCACAGATGCATATCAAGTGACTGAAAAGACCATGGGCTGAAGCAGGTGCACCTTAGTCCTCAAACTGACAGCATTGCTCCTCAATAATTTGGAGATGTCCCAGACTACAGGCTTCCCCAGTACAACGTCTCCTGATCTAAGTGCCGGTACCTGGATGGTACACATGGTTAACTGGATGGACTGCAAGAGATACACTGGGCTCCTTTAGAAGATATGACATTTCTGGGAAAATCCACCATTGAAAACCCTAGGGAAGACAGCTTTACTGACCCACACGGGGTCACTCGATTCAGCCGGACAGCATCGGGCTTTGGGAAGGAAAGAATGAAGGCGACAGAGACGTGGCTAGTCTTCAAAGACCCCGTGCTGGGTCCAGGAGCTGAACGCCACAGCGAGGGATGCCTGCCTTTCTCTGCGCTATTTCACAGCACATTTAAATATAGGTATGTGCACATGCACAGAAAGGTGGCCTTCATGGCAATCAGAAGCTAGTAACAGCAGAAACTTCTAGGGATTGAGTGTAGCGAAGTATTCCCCGCAGCTTTTCTGTAACCCTAGAATTACTCTGAATTCAGGCTCCTTTTAAACTCATTTGGGGGCAAGGGGTAAGGGCAGGCCTGGGTTGGTTTCTAAGCTCTCAGCGCCCCTGAAGGGGTGGCTCTTCCAGGTCCATTACCTGACTCACCTTTCAGTCAGGAGCCCTGGGGGAGCAGAGGTTAAATACTCCACTGTTTCCCAAAAGGTTGGTAGTTCAAATCCACCAGCTGCTGCTCCATTCCAGAAACATGTGGTGGTCAGGTTTCATAAAGATTGGGAACCCCACGGGGCAGCTCCACTGTACCTTTAGGGTCAGTGTGTCAGACACAACCCCACAGGCTGGCAAAGGGAGAGGAGCGAGGAGGGAGCCTCCTCAACGCAGGAGAAAGTGCTCCAGCAGGAGCCGGGATGGTACTGGCAGGAGACCTGATCGGAAAGCCCTGAGCAGCACAAAGCAGGAGAGGATCCTGCCAGACTGAGGGTCCAGACTCCTTCAGACCAGCTACGTGGATTTTAGAGACTTTTCACAAAGCTCAGTTCACTCTGGGTCGGAAGGGAGTCCTCCGTCAACAGCAGGAATCAAGCACCTGAAAACACTAGCCTGTCCACCCGCCCAGCTTCAGGCGCCCAAGCCGAGTGTGGATTCTCTACTTCTCTTCCTCCCAGAATGTCTGTCTAACATGGTCCAGAAATATCTCACCACTCAGTCGGTGTGCTTCCGCAAGGCCCTGCCCGTCAGACTCAGCCATGCCTGAGGCTCTGCCCTCCCCACCTGCACCCCTTGGGTTTCAGGCTAGCCACCTGGACCAGAGATCCCCCCTCAAGCCACCATCCTCTGTGGCGTAACTTCATCATCAGCATCCATGCCTTCCCCCCCCCCCCAACTGCCCAGATCTGTTCCCACCCACAGAGACATGGAGACATCACCCAGCAGCCAGCCAAAAGGAGAAATCCTCATTTCCATTTCAAGTTTCCTTCCTTTTACTGCCAGGGAGACAAAGAGCTGGGAAGCGGCTCGTGAGAAGCCATTCAACTCTCACAATTGGAACAAGTGTGTGCACGCTATCTTCCATCTCAGTGCACCCACGGCTTAACCCCCATTTCTAATAAAAGGGCTCATATTAAAGGGGTTAAGGACAGCATAGGCACCCTCCCTCTTCCCGAAACTCCAAGGAAATCAGCAGGGCCCCAGGTTCAGGATAGACAGAGGTTCTCTCCCTCTTGGGGCCGATACCCCAGTTCTGAGATGATAAACAGTTAAGACTGTACCATCTTCGTCGGGAATGAGTTTATTGTTTAAAAACCTGCAGCCATTCTCTGCACCCACAGTGCAGGCATCCCTCCTCTGGAGCCGGCCTCTCCCCGCCCACCCCCTAGGGCAGCTGGCCGGCTGCACACCTCCAAGTGGATGCTACCCAGGATCCAGGTCACCTCTGGGGGCTCTCGGAACACAGAGCCAGCCTCGGAGCTGGGCACCAGGGCACCACATTTGGGTTTCTTTTGCTTCCCCACCCCCTCCCAGTGCAGACTTCTGCGAGTGAAGTGGAAATTACCTTCTGGTGAAGGCTTTAACGATCACACTGCTTCCCGAGTCTCCATGGAGACCAGCGAGCAGCCCACCCCCTCCGCTTTATTAGGCCTCGCTTCCTCCCGGGAGGGGAAAGTCATCAATCAGGCCTCACACGCCTTTGTGACCGCCCCATCACCTCGAGTCCCCTCCGCCCCGGGGTGGGGTGGGGTGCGCCTGGCCGAGAAGTGCAGGGACCTGGGGGCGCCGCCCACCTGGCCTCCACCCGCGGCTCTGCCCGGAGCACCTGTCCTCCTGCGGCCGCCCAGGTGTGCCCGGCCACACCGCTGGCACCCCCAGGAACACCCCCTGCCTGGGCGGGGACGCCCACCCGGCCCCGCGCTCCGGGAGGGAGGAGCAGGGCAGAGGTGGGCACCGGTCAGCGCGCCTCTGCCCTGGCTGCCCGCACCACGCGCCCCTCCGAGGGCAGGGGGCCAGCCTGTGGCCCGCTTCCCCCAACAAAGACTCCGGTGCCGCCAGAGGGGATCGGGGAGGCGCCAGCGGCCATGGGGGTCCCCCCTTGCTCCCCAACGCCGACCCCCTCAGCGCCTGTGCCCCCCGATGCGCCCCCATTACCTGGGTTGTCACTGGCTTCCGCGGAGGTGGCCAAGGAGTCGGTGAGGACGCTGGGGTCACTCTGTGAGCGGCCCCGCGACACGAGGCAGCCGCTGCCGTCCTCGGAGTCGGCCATGGCCGGCAGGGCCCCTCGCGGAGCCGCGGGGAATCAGCGCATCGAAGGTCAAGGCGAGGGGCTGGATCCGAGGGGAGTCTTGTTAAAAAGCGAATAAAAAAGCGCCGGGAAGAGGCTGGGGGGCGGCTCCGGACCACAGACAATAGCGTCGTGGGCCGCGGCCAGGCGCACCCGGCGCCAACCTCGCTTTGTTATTTATCCGTGTTTATTCCCATCCTTCAGTCCATATTCCAGGGGGGGGAAAAAAAAAAGTTGAACCAGGAAATAAAAACTTTCTGGTCAGTATATATTGCGTGCTTGGAGCAGGGAGTGATGTCCAAAAGAATCTGGGGACGCGCCCTCCCCCCACCCCACCCCCCACCCCCCCGGAAAAAAAGGGAAAAGCAAGAATCTTTGCTCTTGCAATTGCTTTAATCTGAAAGCTGTTCTTGGAGCATCTGTTGGAAAACATTAGGATTCTCCCATCATGCCGCGCGAGAGGAGCATGACGTCACTGGAGAGGGGAGTGCAAAGGGGGCGGTGATGGGGAGGGGTCTCCTATACCTGGCCTGCTAGCTGCCTGGGCTGGACCCCTGGTTCTCAGCTGCCCCCATCCCCTATGAGCCTCACTCAGGAAACACGCAGCCCTCCTGGGTCAACTCCCCCGTCCTCCAGAGGCTGGGAGGAGAGTCTGGGGCTGGCCCCTCCCCTAGAGGCAGGCCCCAATTTCTCAGCGGGGACAGGCAGCCAGTTCCTCCTTCCAGCCCCTCCTATCGCCAGTGAGCCCCTCCCCGACTACAGGGGACCACCTGGAGCTTCAGGTCCCACCTGGTCTGGAGTCACCCCTCCCGGGGCTCAGCCCCCACCCTCTCACAGGAGGCCCAAGTGCCCCCAGGGAGGCTTCCCCGAGTTTAACAGGCCCAAAGGTGATACTCCGAAGGGCTGCCACTTCAGGAGGTGTCCTCAGAGGTGCTAATGAGCCAATTCTCACAACAGTAGATTTCCAGGAGGGACCAGGTAAACATACAGGCCAAACTCAGGAAACAAAGTGCACACAAGAGGGAAGGGCCGGGGGCCCCTGAGGTCACAGGACATCTCAGCTTAGGGGCAGGGGCAGCGAGAGAGCCTGGAGGAAACGAGCTGGGTCCGAGGTGGACCACTTGCAGGCTGTCATCCTCACTAGGTCCTCCAGGGCTGGGCGCTCCTCACTGCCCAGCTGGTGATGGCAGAGACGGCAATGCCTGCTCCGCCTGTTCCTTTCTTGCCTGTTCTACCAGAAGCTAGAGCTGCGGTCAGGGTGGGGGACCCTGCTGGAAAGGCTAGAGGAAACTCAGCGCAGAAACGGGAGAAGTGGACCCTCACTCCTCAGGTGCCCCACATCCGGGCAACCCCCGCCATTGAAGAAAGCATTCATTCATTCATCTCATAGGGAGACCAGTCCACGCTGGGCACCAGGACTCAACATGAAGACCAAGTGCCAGGCAAGTGACCAGGCTGGGGAGGACAGTCCCTAGGGCACCAACAGATGTACAGTCACAGCAAACAGTCACCACCAGAAAAGCAGGATACACTGTACTGGGTCCGTCACCCAGAATCAATCCAACAGTGTGCTCTGGCGCAAGGTGGCCAGCTCTGGGCTGAGGGCAGCACTGTTTCCCCTCACAATGGCCGAAGGGGTGGGTGGCACTGATACCCCTTAGGGGTGAATGAGAATGCAACCCTGGGCAGGGACCCCAGGAAGGACAGGAGCCAAGCTTCTAGAAAGTGCTTGTTCCAGAAATACAGGTGAAGAATGAAGGGCAGAACCCAGGAACAATCCAGACACCAACAGATGAAAGGATGCAGTGGGGCCAAGCTGCACGCGGACGGACAGGTTCCTCTGGCCATGGTACTGGGTCAAACCAGGCACACCCATTCTGATCAGATAGCCCAAAGCTGCCTCTTGAGTTTAGGGTGCTGAAACCCCGTGTGGTGGCTGTCAGGAACGGCCCAAAGCAGGACACTTCATCACATCTTCCCAGAGGTACAAACACATAGCAGATGGCCAGCAGAGGGGGTCCCGAGACTGACAGGGGCCTCAAAGTATATGCAGAAATTCCCTTATCACAGACCACTTAGGGACCCATCCCATTCCCATCTCTAAACGCGGTTCCATCCACACAGCACAGAATGTGGAGCGGGGTCCACCGGCAGGGCCTCCCGGATCACACTGCGTGCCAAGGGTCGCACATGCGCCTATCCAGTCCCCCTAATAGGCACAACATGCAAGGTGCTTCCGAGGCGGAGGACACATGGACGTGCATGACTGCAAAGGGAGGTGGTCACCTTAACAGAGGAGCCTCGTGGGCGAGGCCAGGGGTCAGGGTACCCTGTGGTCCTGATGAAGCCTGAAAGGCAAGACAAAACCACCAAAAAATCCCCACTCATTGCCATCAAGTCGGGCACTGCCCCCCTGGTTTTCTGAGGCATGAACTGCACAGGAGACAACTTCCCATCTTTCTCCAGTGGAGCTGCTGGTGGATTCAAACCAGTGACACTCCCTGCGACCGGTGTCACACAGACAAGAGGGAACGCAGCAACTGCCGTCAGCGCACGAACCTTGTGTATGGCACCCCAACCCCCACAGAACTCCCCCCAGCATTCTCCTGTCTTTAATTGCTGTAGAAGGTGAAGGTCAGGATTGTCTCAGCAAAGTGTGGAATGGGGGGTTGAACCACTCACCTGTGTATCGGAGCCAAATGACTTATGCCCCCCCCAATCCAGAAGTTAAGGTGCTGGAGACAGGACGTGAGTGACAATGGACAGTGCAGGGAGGCAGCCCTAAGAGTCCACCATCGTAGCCTGGCTGGGCAGCACGGGCCAGAATGCCACACAGGAAGACTAGTGGGCAGGAGGTGCGGGGGGAGGGCATCCAGGCAGGAGGAAGTGGGTGCAGCGGCCAGGCAGGAGGTAAGGTACAGACAGGAGAACGTGGGGGTGCCGCGGCAGGTGGGGCCACAGCCAGGCAGGTGTGAGGGGGCCTCAGCCAGGCAGGAGGAGGTGGGGTGAGCCGACAGAGGTGGTGGTCAGGGCTGCAGTGAGGTGGGCAGGTGTGGCCCACTGTGCCCCAGGAGCAGCCCTCACAGTGTGTGTGGTGGGGTAGCTGTTGAATGAGGAGCTGAGAGGGGTGGAGGATGACACCAGAGCTGGGTTTTCAAAGACTAACTGGACCTGGGGACGGGCGTCAAGATAACTGTCCAGCCTGGAATTGACTGGGGTGTTAGAGGGTCATCTCCTGGGTTAGAGGAGGTCAGGACAGGCCGTGGGACAGCAGAGCTGTTCCCAGGTAACGTCACTCGAGGCTCCAGAAGCTAGTCCATCGGGAAAGGAGTGTTGAGCAGCTGTGGTCTTGGGGGTCAGATGCCCCTTTCCCACCCGTAACACCCCCATACCTTGTCACAGCTCCTACGGGAAAGGCTGATGGAGATGTACCCACTCGCATGGAGTCCTGGTCCCCCAGCTTCTGCAGCCCCCACCACAATCCACACCCTCAGATCAACCACAGGGCCCAGACACCAGGACACGAGAGATGGGCAGAGGGGGGCCAGGGTGGAGGGGTCACTAAGGCACTGGGTCCCCCATGTCCAAGGTGATGGACAGAGGGTCCGAGGTGGTTTGTTTCCCTTTCTGGGACCTTAGGGTTGTGAGGTGGGGGGAGTACCCTCCACTCTCCGTGAGACTAATCCCCAAGAACGCACGCTCAGGCCTCGCTACCTAGATGAACACGCTAGGGAACCAACCCAGGAGGGACAAGAAGGTAAACACCGCATGGGAACTTGGGGCAGAAGAGGAGGGAAAGAACACCTGACAAGAGCAGGTCTACAAGAGGGCCGCCGCGCCCTCTGCTGGCCACTGGGGCGCTCACGGCCAGAGCCCCCAGAGCTCAGTGTCCAGCCCCAGCCCTGCAGGGCCTCCAAGCCTGTCGCCCTGACTAAAGCATCTTTTTGGAGAAGCAGCTGGTGGGTTAGAAGGGCTCATCTCATGGTGAGACGCTTTCACCACACCCCCTTCAGAGCACTTCACTACAGGGTCCTCAACACGTTCTTGGGTGACCCAATTCCAAATCACTACAACCCCATGTGATTGCAAAAACCCACCTACAGAGTACAAGTCAGAACTTCATGAAAACAAACCAAGTCTTTCTCCCACAGGGCCGTTCAGGGGGTTTGAACTACCAACCTTTCAACTAGCAAGAGAGTGCTTGACTGCTGTACTACCAGAGCTTCTGTGTTAGCTACTATCAACGCAAAATCTCTGCTGCCAAGGTCACCTGCCTCTTGACGTTTTGCTTGCCCTAGTGCCCCGGGCATGACCGGGGGTGGGGGGGGGCAGCAGGGAAGATGGTGGCCGCCAACAACAGTATTACAGAGCAGTGAAGGGGTCCAAAGTGAGGGTGGCTGTCGGGACCGGCAGTCTCCACCCCGGCCAGATTCACGCTAGAAACCACACATCTTCCAATGACCTTGAATTTGGTTTTGAGTCCCCATCTGGGTGCTGTGGCTGGAGGCCTTTTTGACCCCAGTGATGTAACAGGGTCAGATTTCAAGGAATAGGACAGGTGATGGACAGAAGCTTCCGGTCATCACTGCCGGCACAGTCTGCAGCCCTGGCAGCCCATCGTCTGTGGATGCCAGGTGGGGCCTGAGCCACAGGTGAGGAGGAAGTGGCCAAGGAAGTGGTTCCCCCACCCTCCCTCCCACTTGTAAAGGGCTGAACATCCTTGATATTTGACCTCCAAGAGATGGGCCTTCTACTCAGCTGTGTGCGGACCTTGTGTTAGAAATTGAACATACCTGGTATGGGAAATACCATCCTGTGATAGCTACTTTGCAAATGGGGAAACTGAGGCCAGAGTGTTTCAGTATTAACCAGCACCACAACTCGAAGCCAGTGTCAGAATTAGGATTCGCACTCAGATCCCGCATGTCAGAGCCCTACGTTACATGCCTGCAAGCGTCCTCACCAGCACAGGCAGGGACTCG